CATGATTTACACTGGCAATAGGCTTCGGTTTGCCCTCAGATTTAAGGGTTTGGTGGATAGTTAGGGCACTGCTCCTATTTTTGTATGCTAGACTCACCGGTGCGGCACGTCTCATGCCCTACGGGAGGCGGAAGTAGACGTTAAAAATAACAACAACAACAACAACAACAACAACAACAACAACAACAACAAAAGGTGTCCGGAAGGACGCTGTTTTCACTCGAATAAGTTCTCACACCACTTCGTACCGCTCAAGCAGAAAGTGCGGCTCTTGAAGGAGCAGGCTATTCTTTGCATCAACAAAGCAAGCCCGACGGATTCTTGTACTTCCAAGCATACCATCGGGCAGTCCAAGGACTTTCTTGCTTCGTCATCACTGTGGTGTCATACGGACTTGGTTGTCTGGCCTTCGAACATCACGCTCTACGACACAACAGCCAGGATATTACATTCGGCAAAACAGCTTGAAAATCAAGCAAATGGATATCAACCTAGGAACGGGTTAGGAGTGTATAGATTGGGCGTGTTACCGTGATGGAGATGGAGAAGCCGAGGAATCCACGCCAGACCTTGTCACCTGGAAGTCTGGAATGTATATAGGGAGGTTAGACCAGCGTCACTACCCGTACAGCAATGCACCTGCCAATATGCCATAACCGTTCAACGCAAGCGCTGCCTGGAAATCAACTAAGAGGAAGTGAAGACAAGCAGGCTCAACTCACACAGCGCTCATGTTTATATAAGAAGGTGGATGCCAGGACTTGCGATCCCAATTTTCTTGTTCTCCAAACAACATCCGCCCCAGGGCTCTTCTTCAAGCAACTCATTCTCGCTCACCCCACGTTGGACCTCTTCATCTCCCATCTACGACGCAATGAACGGCGAGCCGAGCCCCCCATCACCCACCGACAATCCAGTGGACGGCGAACCGATCATCACCGAGCCCGTCACCGTCACCGACATGGTCCTGATCGTCGGACCGGACAAGGAACGTATCCCAGTCGAGTCATCCAGTCTCAAGGCCGCCTCGCGCGTCTTTGCTGCCATGCTCTCTCCTCCCTGGCTTGAAATCAACTGCAAAGAGGTTCCCCTTCCCGTTCACGACGCGGACGCGATGCGCTTCATCATCCTCACCCTTTCGTATGACAACGAGAACGAGTTCGTAAACAGACTGCGGACGCCTCAGGAGATACTTCAGATCGCTATGACGGTGGACAAGTACCACTTGCGGACTGCGCTCAAGTTTGTGCTGGACTACTTGTTCAGGCAGGCGGGTGGTGACACATTCCGGCCCTTTGTGGTGGAGGTCGTAGACCGCGAGGATCTCATCTACCTTTGCGCTGCAGCTTACCTGCTCGACCGGTGCGAGAATTTCAGCAGGTATGCATTGGATCTGCTGTGTTACCAAGTGAGGTCCTTCACCGCGCTCATGAACGATGAGTTGATCAACAGCATCCTGCCTGCAAAGTTTTTTGGTAGGTCAGGTTCTGTCGTTCTCTTGCATTGTCTTGCGTTTCTCTTCTGCCTACTTCAACTGTCTTTCTCTACTTACCCACCCACCTACGTACGCACTTTCGGGAACGCTCGTTTTGAATCTGGGTAAACTTACTTAATGCCATGATGACGTTGAAACAGTCAGGCTCACGGAGAGACTCGCAAGCTTTCACCTGGGCGCCTTCCGGGCCATTTGAACGTGCCTCAAAGAGGGGGGTTTCTACCGTACTGCCTGTAACTGTTCCCGGAGCAGATCGCTTTGCAAACGGTACGAGGAGTTTGCTCTGAACCTTGCGCCCGTTATCGTGGATGTTGAACATGGAGTCCGCTCCCCGCTCATCTTCGTCCTTGGCGAAATGCAAACTCTGATCGGGGACGACACTGCTTTTATGTACGAGCAATGCCAGTAGAATGAAGAAGGGATCCAGCACAAGGATCTCATTCCGAACAACCATACGCTCAGCAACAAGCTGAAAGTGGTGAAGTCCGCATGCGTTTATTTATGCATTAGCGAGGTAAAGGACGGGGATAGGACTCTTGCCAGGCAAAGCATGCATTTATCTGAGGGAAAGATCCAATGGACCTGCGAATCGAAGCTGCGGGACATGATGAGACTGTGGAGGAAACATGCATAGTGGATCGAAAGCACAGGGTTTGCAAGTTGACGTTAAGGGAGGTTGCTGGACTGACGATACCTTAAGCATGTTGTACAGGGATGCTACTTGGCTTTTTTATTGGCTTTCAACCGACCGGATTTAGTAGTCTCATCCAGACATCGCCCGTTAACTGAATACATGATCACAGAGGTATGTACATCAACAGGTCTTTAGAGGTGATAGTGAACGGTTGCTCGGACTCAATTATCTCGACACTAAAAGTACGCAAACTAAATGTTTAGTAAAGTTATATATACGATGCCACAAACCTAACAAAATGACTATTCAATACTGTAATAGTCTCCTTGTCTACCGACAATACCATTTCCCACTTCAGCCCATGCGTCCGCCGAATGTTATACGTCGTGAAAGCCAGGCAGAGGAGCGCAGTCATCTTGGCCGTCCCGCCTTTATACGCCAACACCATTGGGTTGAGCCTTAACTCCAGTTCAACACCGGTATGTTGGAAAAGGATTGGACCTATCAATTTAATGTCTGTTCGCATATAACAAGGCTATGGGAGGGAAGGGGGAGGGGTGGATAGAGGATTAACAGTACAACGGCTTGAAGTTGACGCTAAGCAAGGTTTTTAAACTGATAGCTGGATATGTTCGGCGGGAGGGTCCTGTTTCACCATTGTTAGAACCATCCGCTGTATCAGCCCCTCTCAGGGAGCATCACTGTGCTTCGTTAAACTCATTACACTCATGATGTACGAACGAAATACGTTCGATAACGATCGGAAGACCAACCCCCAGGCTAGGCGCAGATTTGGAACCCAGGACTAATCGGAGTAGGCGGACACGCCCTCATCACATCCTCAATACCGCCCGCTAGCTCTGTCCCACCCGCTCCCGTCGGAGGGTGTGCCGGCCACTCAACCCCTGCAAAGAACAAGGCGCACAATTGCGCACCTGCCGTGACCAAGGGTGGGCTGATCACCGCGGCGCCGGCCGCAATCACTCCCACGCCTGCCAAGATCCCAAGCAGAGGAAGTATGTTCTGCCTGAGAAACAGCTTCGTCCTTGTCCATCTTCCTGTTGCGGTGTGCGGCGGCGGAGCTCCCGTGATAGTGCGAGGGGCAGCCGGTGCCGCCTTTTCCGCGGGAATATTATCCATGGTGATGATGGGTTTAAGGTGACCATTCAACGTCTCTTCACAGCGCGAGAGTCGGTCGGTTAGATCGCGGATCGTGCCGTGGTACATGTCTTTGTATTGCTCCTGCTTTTCATCAAAAAGATCATTGGGGCTGACTCGGAGATCTTGCTGCACCCGTTCGGTTCTGCCGAGTTCATCCATCAGATGGTTGAGCTCCCTCTCGCTCGCTGATAACTCGTCTAGTGTCAGGTCAGGAGCCGCGAGAACGTCCGATTTGAGACTCTGAATCTCCTGTTTCAGCTTCTGATATGCGACTCCGTACCACTTCAGTACTTCGCGCCCAGCTAAAGTCTCGTCGAGATGTCGCTCCTCGTCGACAAGCTCGCGCTGGATCTGAAGGACTGGCAGGGAAGTGCTTTGGCATGTAGATTGGATAAGCCCGCGAACAATGGCCTGAGCTGAGGACTGGCTCCCGAACCATCTGTGGACCTGACTGCCTTGTTGGCGCATCAAGCCCCAGAAGTTGGATGTGTACTTTAGCTCGCTCTCTCGGTCACTCGCGGCGAGGTCATCCTTTGCGCTTCGCAAAGAATCCCACTTGGTGGTAACAAGAGCAGCGCATTTCAGTGCCTGAGGTCCGCAAAAAGCGCGGAGAAGATTGAATGTTCTCAGAGCTGATCCACTGACGCGGTTGTCGGTAATCGGATGCAGATAGAGGATTCCACCCAAACGAACGTTATGACGGTGGATTTGACCAAGAAAGAATGCAATGTCCTTCAGGATCTCAACGTCTGGACGCCGAGTATCACCAAAGCCAGAAGTGTCTGCTACAAAGATACGCCGGCCGTTTTCAACGCAGCTGTAGAGATCTAGCGAAACGGTATCTGAAAGAATACGAGTAACTCGTCAGCAATCATATTCTGCAAGATTCGGTCCCTCCGTGATCGATACACGCACCTGATTGGAGGTTATGTCCAACGCCAACCTCCTCCCCTGTCAGTTTTGATATGAACTGACTCTTCCCGCTGCCTGTCATTCCCATCACAAGAACGACCACATCGGTAGGACCCATTCGGTGGCTTGCTCGGTTGGGCATGGTTGTGATGATTGGATCAAATGAAGGACGAAGTGGGTTTGCGTTGATTAATTACAATGAAAGTAGGTGAGACCGCAGAACCAGCTGCGGAGAAAAGAACGTGTGTGGTGTTTCCAAAGCTTCCAGTGGTGGACCTGGGTTAGGTGATAATGGTGGTTGTAACGTGTCAGAAAAGAGAAGCTGGGGACTGAGAACTGATCGATCCAAATGCTGACATCCTGCAACCTTAAGAAATGAAGGGTACAGTTATTTGGCGACTTGAGCCTCATTGTGGGGATCTGTTTTTCCTTGCTCTTCGGTTGGGCTAGAATTCCAATGCCCTATCAACACCCACCTTTTCCTGAGGGGGGGCTGGTTGGGCATCATTGAGTGGCATCGTGCAAGCCGTTGTTGAGCTGCAATTGCGTGGAACAATCCACACCACTACGCTGTACGGGGAACTTGGGCTGCAGGTTCTCAAACCACCAAACGGCCACCCAACTCGCCTGACCAAATCAGCCACAATGCATGAAGATAAAAACGAGGCTTGCAAGTGGTGCAAACGTCCGAACTGGCGGATGTGATAAGCAGGCTGCGCAAGATATCTGGCAAAGGAACCAACTTGGCATCTCTGACAGCTTGATCTGGAGCACAATCAGGCCTTCACCATGCGTCCCATGCGGCTATCGCGTGATGAGAATTCCCTGTTGGCATTGAGGAAATGGAAGCCTAATGGAGCCTTGTCCTGCTCGGCGCAAGAGCCGAACAGGCGAAGGTCTTCATCGATCGCTCCAGGTACTGCGTGGGAATTGTATGATAAGTAACGCGCTGGAGCAGCTCACTTCTCACAAAATCTTCGTCGGATAAAGTGCGCCATGCGTTCATAAGGCTCTGCTTTGTTGTCTTCCTCTCAACTTCGTACCACTCTGCTCCCAAATCCTCCTGATTGCTACCGGGTTGCATATTCCTCATGTCGAACATCCTCAAATCTTTCCAAGCCATGGACTTTGCTCCTCGTCCCGAAGATGTCATTGTGGCGGTGATGGGAATGACTGGCTCGGGCAAAAGCACATTCATCTCGCAATGCATCGGACAAAATATTGGTATCGTGGGCCACGGTCTTCAAGGATGTAAGTCCAATCACTCGACAGCGATTCATCTGTGTTGCTTCGACTGATTAAGTCATCATCGTTTAGACACGCAGGCAGTAGACTGCTATATGTTCCCTTACTCCGACTCTGTGAATGTGTATCTCGTCGACACTCCTGGCTTTGATGACACAACCCTCACCGACAGTGATGTCCTCAGGGCCATCGCAGCCTGGATGAGCGACACATACAAGAAAGAGATCATGCTCAACGGCATCATATACTTGCATCGAATCACTGATCCACGTATGCAAGGCTCGGCCTTGAAAAACCTTCACATCTTCAGAAAGCTTTGCGGGACAAATGCTCTCACCCACGTCACCTTGGCCACTACGATGTGGGAGGCTGTGCAAACCCTGGATGGTGAGCGTCGGGAGCGTGAGCTTCTAGATACCTCGGACTTCTGGGGACAGATGCATCAGAACGGCGCAATTGTGGAAAGGCATTACAACAACCGGGAGTCAGCCATGAGGATCCTGGAGAAGTATATCGGGGGAGAGCGCACTGCGACTTCCTTGCAGGTGGAGATGGTGAAGGGCAAGAAGGACTTGATTGACACCGAAGCTGGAATAGAGCTTAACAGCGAGTACCGCAAGATCGAAGACAAGTTGAAGAAAGAATTGCAGATAACGTCGGAGGAACTCAGGAAAGCACAACAAAACAAGGACAGAGAGATGGCAGCTGAGATGGAGCGCTACCAGAGGGAGGTAAATGAGAAGCTTGCGAAGGTTCAGATGGAGCGGGAAGACCTGAAGGTGGACTTGGCCAAATTGCTTGCTGCTACCAAGCTCTTCGGCACAATGCCAAGGAGTAGCAACCGAAACAGCAGGTAAGTTCAACGCGGAAAGAAAGACGGGGGAAAGTATTTGGCATGGACGTCAAGCGCTAACTCCTTGAATAGTGACCAACCTTCAGCGCCCAGAGGCAAGATGCGTCCCGCGAGGAAGCTTGATATGCTGAAGGGCTTGTTGGGAATAGGACCAAAGATAGAGATGGCCGAAGTAGAGAATGAAGAAGAGTACAGGATGAAGAAGAGTACAGGATGAAGAAGAGTACAGGATGAAGAAGAGTACAGGATGAAGAAGAGTACGGGATGAAGGGTAAATTTTGAGTGTCCTTGACGGCGTGTGCGATGAGCAGAGAACCGAAGTTGATGGATGAGATCAAGAGTGAAACGGAGGAGCAGGACCCCAGGCCTCTTATATCACCTAAGTAGTCATTGGTCATTGCAACATTCCTCCAGCCGCTCCTTCCCTGACAACCACCTGTCGTCCAAAGTGGAGTTCTGCCAAGCAACGGGTGACAAGAAGGGGAAGCAGTCGTACCTTTTTCTCGCTCCATGATCCTTGTGCCTACGTGTCTTGACGCTCGACAAATCAGGAACCCCGGAGTGAGAGCCAGCAGGTGTAGTAAGTGCAGTGTAGTGAATGTAGCGCAGGCAAGCGAGCCTGAGGTGAGCCGAACCAAATCCTTCGGCACTACATAAACGAAAGGACCGTAACAACGAGGGCGGAGAAAGAAGAGGTTCAAAAAAGGATATAAGGGAAAGAGGGAAAGGGGGAAAGAGGGAGAGGAGACGAACCATAAGAACCACAAAGACGAGAAACACAAGAAGCCGAACTAACCAAGTTCGAACAAACAACATCAATAATAACATGAACACATGCCACCTGAAAATCAAACAGGAACGCCGAAGAGACATGATACCTACTGTAATCGTACATTACCTCTCTCTCTCTTCATATCCCCCACTCCCACTCCCACTCCCACTCCCACTCCCACTCCCACTCCCACTCCCACTCCCACTCCCACTCCCACTCCCACTCCTACTCCCACTCCCACTCCACTCCTCGCCACTCCCACTCCCACTCCCACTCCTTCGGCCACCCTTCAGCCAGCCACACTCACTTCGACAAAAACTTCTGAAAAGCCGACTGGTCAATAATGACGTTACCCACCGCCCTCAACCTCTTCCTACCAGCCTTCTGCTTCTCCAACAACTTCCTGCGTCTCGTGATATCACTAGCGTGCAGCTTGGCCAACACGTCCTTCCTGAAGGGCTTGATGGTCTCGCGAGCGACGATGCGGCGGCCGGCGGCGGCTTGGATGATGACCTCTGTTTTGAGTCGTTAGCACACCATCCCCTGAAAATGAAAAAGAAAGAAAGAAAAAACGGAAAGGAAAACTCACCAAACATCTGCCTATCCACATGCTCCTTAAACTTTGTAACCCACTGCCTACCAAGCCTCTCCACCTGACTGGTATGCACGATCCTCGCCACGGCATCTACAGCCTTCTTGTTCACCAGCAGATTCAGCTTAACCAGCTGCGCCTGTCTCCAGCCTGCATCCTCATAATCCAGCGTCGCATACCCCTTCGTCGCGCCCTTGAGTTTGCCAAAGAGGTCATCGACCAGCGAAGCAGCAGGCAGCTCATACTTGAGAATGACTTGCGTGGCCGTGAAGAACTCTAGACTCTTCTGCACCCCGCGCGCGTTCTCGCAGATCTCAATGCAGCGGCCTACGTATTCTTCCGGCAAAGTGACGGTGGCGTTGACAAAGGGCTCGTAGAGTGTGGCGGAGCGGATGCGGTGGTCGTCTGGGTCCGGGAACTCAGCCGGGTTGGTGACGATTTCTTCTTGGCCTGTGGACCAGACGATCTTGGTAGGAACAGCGGGCTCGGTGATGATGATGCTTGCGCCGTGTTCCTGGCGCAAGCGGTCTTGAAAGACGGAGCAGTGAAGAGATCCCAAAAACCCGAGACGCCAGCCGGCGCCCAAAGCTTCGGAGTAGTCCTTTTGTAAAGTCACCGAACGGTCGTTGAGCACGAGGTGGGAGATGGAGTCAGCGAGACGGCCGTAGTCGTCTTGGTTAGTAGGGAACGCGGCGACGAAGACCATGGGCTTGGGCTCCTCGAAGCCGGGGCAGGGCTCGACAATGTCCTCGTACCCGACGTTGGTGAAGGTATCGCCCAGCTTGGCGTCCTGGATGCGTTTCATGCCGGGGTTGAAAAAGACGTAGCCGACCTGCCCCGCCCTCAAAACTTTCTGGGGCACGGCGTCGGGATACTGGATGCCGACTTCGCCGACGATGTACTCGTTGCCCGTGGCGTACGAGTAGACCTTGTCGCCCTGCTTGAGCGTTCCGTCGAATAAGCGGACGAGCAGCACGACGCCCTTGAAGGTGTCGTACCACGAGTCCACCAGGAGCATGCGCAACGGCTTCTTGGCGTCGCCAACGGGAGCCGGCATCTTCTTGATGACCGCGGGCAAGATCTCGCCTACGCCTTGACCGGTTTTGGCGCTGACTTTCACAGCCGTGGAAGTGTCCAGCTCAAAAACGGTTTCCAGCTGTTCCAACACGCGCGGCACGTCGGCGCTGGCCATATCGATCTTGTTGACCACCGGCACCAGCGACAGGCCCTGCGCAAAGGCAAGATAGAAGTTGGCGACCGTCTGCGCCTGCACACCCTGCGAAGCGTCAACCAGCAGCAGGGCGCCGCTGCACGACGAGTACGAGCGTGTGACTTCAGCCCTAAAATCGACGTGGCCCGGGGTGTCGACGAGATGGAGGAGGTAGTCGAGGCCGTCTTCTTTGTGCTTGTAGATCATGGTGCACGTCTGCGCCTTGACGGTGATGCCACGCTCGCGCTCCACGTCGAGCTTATCCAGGACCTGCTTGTTGCCATCGCCAGCCACGATCGTGCCTGTGTGCTCCAACAGTCGATCGGAGAGGGTACTCTTGCCGTGGTCGATGTGGGCGACGATACAGAAGTTTCGGTAGCGCTCGAGCGGGATGGCGGCGATTCGTTTCTCGATCTCGGCCGCTCTCCTCTCGATGGGCATCTTGGAAGTAGCTGTCGTGCTGTTCGTGCTTGTCGTGCTGTTCGTGCTCTTCGTACTGTTGTGTCTCCGCGCGGCGGGAACGGTGACGGAGGGCAGCACAAGTTGGGCGTTGGTCGTCGGGATCGTGAGGAGGAGGGAGCTGCTGAGCGGCCTCAGAGCTGGAGGGGAGGAGCTGGTTCGTCGGTCATTCTGCTGGGATTCGAGGTTCCCCGCCAACGAGGAGAAGCCAGTTCTGCTACCTGGCAGAGGCCTTGGTGGTTGTTGGTGCTGACATGTTGATGTCGAGAGGAGTGTTGTGGGAAGACGACTGATTCTATGAAGAGGCAGAGGCAGACGAGGCAGACGCGCGCAAGGCCTCAGACATGGCCGCATCAGAACGTCGGGACGACAGGGCGCACCACGCATTCAATTGGACGTCACCGGGTCATGAAAAGAAAGTGATTGGGAAAGAATTCGTATGGATTGGTCGCAGAAACGAATCGCGACTACAATTGCACTTGGATGGGAGAATGGGGATGACGGCCTGGGGATACAGTGGCCCACTGCGAATCCTCTGGACGCTGCCGCCGAAGACTCCCAAAATTCGTCCCCGCTCCAAAATTCCCCGAGCTCTTATCTTATCGAACCCTGAACTCGAAGAGGTCTAGAGCATAAAGTAGAGGTACCCGTCAGCCATCAGTCCAACGCACGAAAGCTCATGGTGCTGGAGCATATAGAAGTACCGGTACCTCCTGCGGCTTGACATCCGATCTCCTCAACATAAAAGCTAGAGTTGATGTAAACAAATCCTCCTGACAAAGACAACATCGCAACCTGGTTAACATAACATGTTTTGACTTGAACTCTATAAATTCGTTATTTCCCTTGCTTCAAAGACGTCTAATGTCCAAGTTCTTCAACAAGCGTTACATGGTCATTTATATCCCACGATCACCCTCAAGGTTCGATGCTACTCTCTTCGACCGGCTCTTCAGGTTTTCTTCATCCGATCTCTGATCTACCCACTCGTTCTAATCATGACTTGAACACCACCGATCGACCACACCCCATCACCCAATTTCCAATTTCCAACCAACCGCTTCCGATGCTTTCTTTATCCCTTCTTCTTTTTGCTCTTTGCTCTCTTTCCTCATGATTATGTATAACATTTCAAGGCAGTATAGGTATCAAGAAGAAACACGACAACAACGACAACAACAGCCAAACAAAAACACATGTGTCCACGGTGTGCGTGAAGTTTAACAGACAAAAGCCAACCGGGGCTTCCTTCGCACATCACCGCCTCCCTCCCATCCTCTTCACTTTGTACCGTCCGACCGACCGCCCAGTTTGTTCCATTCATCATCAGTCCCACCCACCCACCCATACCTACTCCCCTTCCATCCATCCCAACCCTTCTGGCCTGGCCTATCTCTCCTCCCATTTTGCCAACCCCGGCTTTCTTTCATCCATACATACTCCACTCCTTAGTGCCACTTCTCATATGCTTAGGTACTGCTTCTGCCTCCTAAACAAGTACCCACTCGCTTCCTCTCTTGAGGAACTTGTCCAGCATCAGCGTGAGATCCGACAAGACGAACCGACAAATATAAAGCGCAAAGAATTCCGCCGCATGCCTAGTGCTGAGCTCGAGTCCCACCTGCGTCTTGTCTGCGTGCCGGAGGCCTGGGTCTTCGACTTGGCGAGCGATTTGGTCTGTTATTTTTTATCTCATTGTTAGAAACACAGTGGTGACTAGAGATGAGGAAGAAACATGCGAATAATACATACCAACCAACTGAGCCGCATCAAACAATCTCGCCAACGAGCTCATGTAATTCGCATTCGGCCCCTGGAATAGCACGTTCCCCACGTCTCTCTTCATCGGTCGGTTCGTCGGATGCGTCGTCATCGGGAGACTAGGGCAGATGATATCCTTCCCTGTTCCCTCGATGGGTGTCGATGCCACACTACCACTCGTCCCACCTGCACTGCTGCTGCCCTTGCCCAGACTGACCAAGTTCGCCGAGCTGTTCTTGCTGCGTAGTCTCCTCCACGAGAAGGCACTCGTCTTGGCGCTCACGCTGGTGGACCGTGGCAGGGACCCATCTTCCGCATGCACTGGGTCCTTAAACGAGGTGGCGTGGGGACCAACTTCGCTGGCGCCGAGCTTCTTGACCAGGAACTTCTCTACAGTCTCAATTACCGTTTCGAGAGCCTGCATTTCCTCCAGCACGGCGTCCGCGTCGCAGGTGTCTACCCTGGCCAGTTTCTGTAGCGCGGCAGTCATCAGATCACACTGTGAGATTTTCTCTTCGATGTACTTGAGTTTGACACCCTTCACTCTCCACACGTCCCGTGGGACAAATAGCTTGTTGCTGATGTACCCTCCGCGTGGGTGGCAGAGCGTCTGGTACAGACAGCGCATGAGCCAGAACGGCCGTAGCAGAACATCGCTCGGGCAAGGCTCAAGAGGCGCAGGCGCATCGGCGAGCATGCCGTTCGGTGATCCAGGGTCGTTGGCCGAGTGGAACTCGGCATCAAACAGATACATGCCCGCTGTTCCGACAGCTGTGTCCGACCTTTCTCGGAACGTTCCAGCCAACGGTGTCGGCATGGACGGAATCGTGGGCAGGCGTGTTGTTGAGCCATTTATGTGTTGGCCAAATTGAGTGTTCACTGGAGTGCCAGGAGACATATCCGATACATCATCAATATGCGATACAGAGAGATTGCGATGTGACTTTGCACTCCGCAAGCTTGATGAAGAAAAGTTCTTCCTCAGACCCGGTCGACCAATCGAGGGAGAACCTGAGCGAGGCGGGTGGTCGTCCTGCAAGTGACTCGTCGGCAGGGGAGGAGCTCCCCCTTCCCCAGGGGATGGAGACACCACTCGCCGAGCAGCAAGAGGGTTAGCTGTCCGGTGAGGACCGGCAGACAAGGCTTGCCTTTGTTGCACAATGTAATTGTTCGATCGTGCTTGCTGTGGTGGGAATGCAGGCCCGGCCGTAGTTGGTCCCGGCTGAGTAAGCTTCATGGTCTCGATCTTCAGCTGCTTCATGTTTTGGCCAGAGAGACGTCGCTGTCTCACACTCTGACTCGAAGCCTCTGATCCTGAAGTTCCTGGTGGCCGACTAGGTAGCTGAGGCAACGCACCCGCTGGCGGAGGCGGTAATGGGGGTAACGGCCCCTTGGGTTCCGGACGACTCGGGCTCTCGCTCACCGTAGTAAGCAACGTGGTCGAAGTGTTTTGGTTGGACCCTGTAGAGCTGTGCCATGTGCGATTCGTTACCCCGCTGGAATCAGATTCTCGAGGAACCAGCTGCTTCTTTCCATGCCCAAACGCAAAGTCCTCGATCTGGTACCCATTGGTCATCTCCTCCAAGAACCGTTCCTCCTCTTCCGAATCATTGCCCTCGTCGTAAAAGTCGTCATGCCCTGTCCAGCCTCTCTTTCGGTACTCCTCGTCCTCCAACTGTTGTTGTAGTCGTAGTTTCCTTTCCCTCTCGTTCGCCAACTCAAGTGCATCCCTTTCCTCGTCCCGTGGCCGGTCTCTTCGATTGTATGAGCTTCCCGCAGCAGTGTGGGGACCCTCTCTGTAATACTCCTGCTCCGGTTCAAATCCTTCGTCGTAGGCGGCTTCTATAGCATCGTCCAATGCAGCATCAAACTCGGCTTCCGTATCCCCACTGGGCGCCCGAATATGCTTCCTCCGTACTCCTGTCGATGACGATCGCGAGTGTACCGAAGACGAGCTAGATCCGCCGGATTCCTCGATGGGATCTAACCATGATATCGACTCGTGACTAGGATCCCTCTGATGTCCATTATTATTGGTATAATTCCTCGGAGGGGCCTGAGCGCCAGACATCGAATAATCAGAGCGGAACACTTGCTGTCGCGGGACATCTTTCTCTGGCGCAGGTGGAGGTGGTGGCGGCTGAGCGGGTGATAAAGGTCTGCGAGGTGATAGTGGCGGCGGCATATAAGCATTATCCATCGGTGGCCGAAGGCTCGAGGGCTGTCGCGCCTTAGAAAATGCAGACTGTAACGTTAATTGCTCGGTAAGGTAGGAAGTAGGGCCATTGGAACCTCCTGGGGTCTGGAGAGTTAACGTGGGTGGTACCGGCGGTCTACCGGGGGGTGGTTGTCGCCTGAACTGAGTCTGGACAGACAGATTAGGCTCCCGAGTACGACTACGTTCCCGAGTGTAGGTCGAGAGCATTGGCTCGTCATCAGACACTTCTGCATGGTAAGCCTGAGCACGCAGATATGATCCCTCATCATAGCTTCGGGGATCCTGCGAGCGTGCCCTCTCATCCAGAACGTTACCGATGATTTCGTTAAGTTCGTCAATTCTCCCCACGTATGTTTGGTGCTATTCACATGGTTGGTATCAGTGGGTCAAAACTCAAGCCAAGGTCTAAAACAGTAGCATGCAAGTCACCTACAATAGCTTCTAGCTTCCTGCGATCCTCCTCGGTAGAAGTTCGCCGCAACACATCCTGTAATAGGTGGCAAGCTTCCGTGTAAGCCAGCCTAGCCTCCTCAAAGGCTTGCGCATTGTCAAGCTGAACTGCGGCGTTAGCCTTAGTAAGCGCCTCAGATAGCATTGCCTTTTGCGACCGATGAGGCTTCTCGGAGCGGTTGCGATCGCGATCTCGGTTTCGGTTTGACGCAGTCGAATCGGTACTTGGCTTTGCGCCATGCGACCTCCCTCGCGATTGACCTCGGGGGTCGCCGTTTTGTGTGTATGGGGCATCATATGGTCCGGCGCGAATTCGGCAGGAGGTAGCAGCCCCTCTGCTTGGTGTGACCGTGGCAACGATCCTGGTGTGTCTTCGAGTATCTGCGGAGCACCATCCCAGAACGTGGTGTTGTCGTCAGGAGGCGGCCTGAGATAATACCGCCTGGGTGGTACCGGTGATTGCCTCCCAATTTCACTCGCCTGGTGTCGAAATTCCTCTTCCAAAGACGGCCCGGCCGAAATTCGCGGCAGGCTAGGTAAGGGCGGAACCGGATGAAGCAGGGGTGAATCACTGCGGCCTCGGAGGTGGCTAACAGAGCGCGGAGAGATTTCTGACGTCGAGGGTCGGCGTTTGGGTGACTTTTGACCAGGTGAATCTTCCCTCGCTTTTCCACTATCCTTCCCAATGCGCCAACTGGAACCACCACCGTTTGACCCTTTGCTTGACGCGGACGAGGCAGACCAACGATTGAGATTCCTAAGACGCTCGCCTAGGCTGCTTGAGCTACCAGATCGCGAATGACCTCGCTTATGCGACGGTGGTTGTAGTCCTTTGTTCGAGCCTGGAGATAAAGAGCCGTGAAGTTGCGGCTCATTGAACGATTCTATAACGTCTGTGGACGGTCGCGAGTCGGTCGAGACCTTGGAGGGTGGAAGGATGTCAGACGGAAAAGGGCTGAAGGTCGGTTTATGATGTTCGGCGGCGCTGGGCACAGTAACAGTACCAAAGCGCTCGGAGTGTTGTTGCGGTGGCGGAGGTCGGTCGGGTGTCTGCCCCTGGGGATAGGGGTTCCGTAAACCGGGGCTGATAAAGTCCCGGTCCGGCAGCCGTGTTCGCGGCGACGGCGACGTGTATGAGGAAGAGCCAGCAAAAGTGGTGACGTTCGCGGGCGGCGTCCGGGCAGAGGAGATGTCGGGGGCTGACCGAGACCCAGGGTTGTTGGACGAGGTCGGGGTCTTGGACGAGGTCGAGGTCAAGGTCGCGGGTGCGGGTGCGGGTGCTGGTGGAGGTGCTGCTATGGTGAAATGGGGCAAGGGCATCGCTAAGGGTCGAAAGGGGAAGCCAAGTCGGCCACTCCCCTACCCTGGAAAATATGGAGGTGCTCCTCTCTGTACTTGCTGCTGCAACCATTAGCCTGGGACTTGTACCGTGTGTCGAACTTGGCTTCTTGTCGGCGCCAAGGTAGCCGGCCGTACACTGGGAGGACGGCGAGAACCAGATGGAAACAACAGGGGGACAGCAAGGGGAGACAGAGCGCACGGCGTGGTGGGATTGGGCAACAACGGGGGGGATGCAAGCCAGATTGAGAGTTACGCAGCAAGTCAGAATTGGTACCTTTTTCCAGTCAACCCTGGTCGTTATTCGCACTGCCTGGTGAGGTTGCCTCAGTTGTAGTTCCCCAGAACGTGAGAGATCAGATGTGTGGATGGATGGCCCTTTCTCTCAACCTTCCTCCTCCCCCTCAGCCTGGCCCTTTCACGCTCGAGCAGGCAGGGCTTCCCCGTCCACTATTGTTTCTTTTTATTATATCCCTTTTTTCGATGGGAAGTTCTCGGGTGCCGTTCCGTGCTCTTGTTGGTTGCCGGTCCCGATGGAGGGCGGACTTCTCTCTCTAGGCTCCAGACAATCGGAGCGGTTTTGCTTTTGGGGAAGCGATTGAATTTTCTTAGTGTAGCGTAGCAGCAACTCTTGTGATTGTCGGGTTGGCCAATGGAAAGGCTCACGGGGCTGCGAATGATGGATTAGGTACGGATTGGCGTGGTGCCCCTGTTTCTGCCGGTACTAGCTCTTCGGGTTTGTGGACGCCGCCGTGTAATTGCGCGTCACTAGGAGGTCCCTGAATGAGTGATGTGTGGTCGACGATGGGGGCGGACAGCGATGGGATGGGATCCTGATCTCGAGACGGGATTCGTGCAAGGTGTGTCAAATTGTGTGTGCAAACTGCTGAATGGTGAATGGTGTGCAGGGTGCGGCTGTTACACTGAACTGGGAGGCGGTTGTCGACGCTTTGAGTGACACATAACGGCGGGCTTTGAGTGGTCAATGGTGGTTTTATTAGCTGGAAAGAGTAGCGTGCTGTGTGCCGAAGCCGTCGTCGCGTGTTACATGTGAGGTGTCTGGGTGGATGAATGGATTGGGATGCCGGGTAGAGAAAAGGACAAGACAATATGTGGGCGGAGTGAGAGATGGAGAGATTGAATTTCCATTCCTCGGATTGCGGAATTGGAGACTGCGGCGTCACTGCCTGCAATCAGGTGTCTTGAGTTTTGGTGACGCTTTCTGAGCAGCTGGGAGACTGCCCAAGAGCGAAGACCACCTACACCGAGAGGAAGTGCTCCGACCCCCGGGGGTTGACTGTTGACGGACTGATAGTGGATGAAAGACCCAAAAGTTAGAGAGAACACTGGAATTTCAAGGCACTCTCATTGATGGCTCATCAACCTCTTTTGAAGCCTCCGTTTAAACGCCCTGACTTCCCAATGTGCTATATGATGTAGTCATTCTTTTTGCGCTTTTCTTGATATCTTCCCTGCTCTGGTTTGTCTCATCTTGTCGCATTGTCGCCCGGCAGTCGCTGACCTCCAAAAGCCACTGGCAATCGAACATCGAATTGGTGGAGTGGAGTGGGAGATGAAAGCCGTCGACCGGAGATCCACACTGGTCCCCGCCAAGACTCAAAACGTGCTGAAGGGACAATATCAAGTGCTGCCGCAGGGGGAACCACTACAACGCTCATCACAGAAAGGCAGTTCCTGTTCGAGGATATTCGCAAATTCTGATTGGCTTGTTGAAAAAGAAGCCCACCGTCGGTCCCCTTCCCAGGTCGTGAAGAAAAAAGGGACCTGGGGATCCAAACGTTCGCAATGTCCTGATGCAGCCGATGTACATCCTTGGAACCCTCTTACCGGCAAACGAGCTTCGGACAGACTAATTTGATAGTATAAGTCGTCGAGGTACCTCAGCGCTAACAGCAAGCAAAAAGGGGGGATCACAATCAACCGTTAGTGGACCCCTTCCACTTTCTCCCATTCCATTTCCACGTGCTGGTGAGCTCCTTTCCCCAACTCCCAAGGACCCCAACGGTTCGCCTACTCGCATCATATCATGATCCATCTCGATCTTGAGTGAGATCTTGAGATGACTTGCATTTGACATTCTCAGCGTTGGCCCTCATCCGTTATTCTTTTTTTTTTGCAACTTCACTATTACCATAGGGGTTGTTTCTTTTCTGTTCAAGATCGACGTTCCTCTGTACATGGTGGCGTCTAGGATGTCGTTAATGCGACCGCCATCATCAATTAAGCATGGCTCATATGATATCAGCGCCATCACCCCCCTTGTAAATCTCGCCATAACGTCTGATTTGCTAATTGGCGTCTAAGTACTCAGCCTTCTTACTTACTACCGCCTTCACCGTCTTCGCAGCTTTGCTACGTCCAAAACGCGTGGTGTTTCATACTTACTTGATCCCGGTCATTGTCGGCCTTTGCGGCAGCATTGATGACCGTGTGGGATTTCCCATTGTGGGCGGTTGCTCGTGCGGAAACCGGGGGCTTTCCGTGGTCATGGAAAATCACAGAGAAAGGAAAGGAGCGGGAGAGGCATGTATTGTCCCAGAAATATTTTTTGTTTGTGATTCCAATGTTCGTTCTCCTTTGACCCAAACCCGAAAAAGCCATTCCCCCCCCCGCGGTATATAAGGTATATGATATCAAGTGCTAAAAGTCCTCTTTCATATGGAGGACAGAAAAACACGCTCGCTTGCTTGCTTCAACGGTGTTTCCCGGCCCTGGCCCTGCCTGGTGGTATCTGGTATCTGGTATCTTGACTTCAACGAGTGTCCAAAAAAATTTTGTGTTTCAAAAAGCCGCCCATCCCATGTCGTTTTGTCCCCTCTATACATACTTCCATCCCCCTCATCATCAGCTCTCCTCCCACAGTGCTGTGTAACCTTGCGTCATCTCTTCTGTTGTTATGGAGCCGCCAATCGTGCGTAACTGTTACTGTTGCGTATCGGTGGTTTCTGTCCGTAGACAAAGTATCTGGAGACGATCATGTCAATATCGGCTGCTGCGTTGGTTTCATTCTGGATCCCTTTGATGGAGTGAAAAAGTTCAGGGTAAAGGGAAAGAGAGAACATACGTCAAAAAGTAAAAATGTACCCCCAGATTCCGAATATCCTTCCTGACATCTACCAAAAACAGCTCCACTTCTTCTGGTGACATGCCCAACCCTTTCGTGAAGATGGTCATGCTCACAGCATGTAAGCCCTCAAGAAAGTTCGTCATCTGCCACACGCCCATGACCTTCTGGTCATTCCCCTTCGGCCACGGGTTCCCTGGTATCACGAGCTTCTCTTCGACCACGTTGATAAACCCGGCTTCTTCCATCCACTGCTTGTACCTTCTCGGTGCTAGCATGTCTCTCCCCAGACGCTGGCCACCCTCGACGTACATCCGGGTCCAGCGCTCGAGGGCAGTGCCAGCTATGCTGTTGTCCACCGATTGTATGTGGGGGTAGTAGTCCTGCCACTCCATCCAACCGCCGGGTTGCAGTTGCTGAAAGGCCGACGCCATAACTTCTTTGTGGGATTTGAAGGCGTGGAACATTAACCGGAGGTGGACGTAGTCGAATTGTTGCGAGAAAATCCACTCGTCTTCGGCGTCGTCTACTTCGAAATGGCAGTTGGGAGGTACACTAATACGCGATGGGAGTTAGCCTGTTTACGCTGATCCGAGGCTCCTAGGCCATGCACATGTTCGGACAAATAATAGGTGGGTAGCTACAGTACTTACAAGTCGGGCTGTATGGGACTTAGATCAGTCCCTACTACATGAGCCCCTGGATATTGTATTGCTGAAGAAACCAGTTGTTAGTCGACCATTACACGGTGTTCGAAGTAGTCCTGTTATTTGCTCACCGAACTCGATTGCCCATATACCAGTCCCTATTACTGTTGGTTAGTGGAATCCAGTCTTAACTGGGCCCGAGCAGCCTTACCTGTGCCAATATCGAGGACCTTCTGGGGGCTTGTTATTGGTGCTAACCCAAATTTCCCCTTCAGGAGGCGCATAAACACGGCATGTTGTAGATCTGACGACGGGGTATGTTAGCCTCCTGAAACCATGTATCCGACTTTGGTGATCTCTCCCGTGGAAACTTACCTAATCGGTCCTGCTCAATCTTTTCCACACAAAATCCCACGGTCAGCTCCTATTCGTACCCCTCAGGAAAAGGCCAGAGGTAACACTAACTTTGTCGTTGGGCATCCAGTACTCTGCCGGTCCAAGGTCAGCTCCCGTCCACGTGAAAGGTTGCACCCGAGACACTTACTGCCCTGCTTGTACCTGTGGAACGTCCTCCCATGTTCTTCGACGTAGTCGTAAATGCTGGATCGTAACGAGGATGTCGACAGTCTGTAAGAGCGGGGCGCACAAAGGGGGCCAAACTGTCAGATAGCCGTTCGCGTCCCGCCAGTAGTGAAACCTTCAAGGTGGGGGGAGGATATGTGGGAGAGCGCTGCGAGAAGGAAAGACTGTTTTCACTTACGCCCCTGTTATGTCGTCGCCCATAGCCGAGTCTGCGTCGGAATCCACCTGGTTCTCGAAAGTATATGCTCAGCACTTGTCCCTGTCCTATCCAGCGTCCGTTGAGCCGCTTCCCATCTAGGTCTGCTACCAGCACTTGCTAACTCCTTCGTCGCCATGACTTTTGTTTCTTTTTTTCGTGGGAGATGCAGGAAAATTACCCTTTCTACACTTACACTCAGCCCAGCTGAAAACTGCCCGCTGTTGTTGACGTGGTCGCCCGACAACATGGCCCCCCTCTCCGGATCATTGTTCGCGACATGGCGGGCGTAAGCTGGATCATTTGGCGCTGGATCTTCGACTTCTGTGGCTGCCGGCAAATACGACGAAGTAGACGTCACTGATTCGGAAACCGGCGTGTACACGTACGACGTTGACGGATGTGTTGATGAGGACGAAGCTGACGCGACTGATGTCGACGGTTGCGGTTTGTGTTTTGATATGGCGGCTTCAATGGCTTCGTCGTCGCGGAAGGGTTCATAGTACTGATGGGTATGTTGGAGGTAAACATCGCCAGGAACACTAGGCGCAGTTTTTGAGCGTGTCGGTTGCGGTGGTAATCGTGGTGGCAAGGGCGATGGAGAAGCTGGTGTTGGTAGTCGCGTCGATGTTCGCGTTGGTGATCCGCTTGCTACTGTTGGTCGTAGTTGCGTCGGGTATGTCTGTGCTCGCCCTGGTATTGGAGCCTGGGTCTGGGCCGGTTTGGGGGCTAAAGCTGGCAAGTTTGGAAACGACGACGAAGACGATGACGGGAAGGGAAGCGGCGACGGCGATTGTAATGGCGACTGCAGGGTACTCGATCGCGAATGCTGTGATGACGCTGGTTGTGGTGGTGGTGGCGGCGATTGATACGAAGGATATGACTGACGATACTGCTGCTCCTGGGTCGGCTGGTTGAGCACTGGACTCGGTGATTTTTGGTCGTAATGATCGTCTAGAGATGGTCGCTTCCCCTTTCCCTTCCATTTCCCCTTCTCCTCTTCCACCGGAGCTTCAGCCATTTTCACCTGTCCCCGCGGTGGCTATATCCCCTCCCCCTTCTCGTTTGATGGCCAACGACTGTCGACTTGGAATACGGAGTGTCGTGTCGCACCGTCAAGCCCGTGTCTTTTCGGCGACGCCTCCGGTATGCCGTCGAGACTCGGGACTCGGTGATGACGACTCGGACGGCGTTCGTGAATGGCGCAATTGCTGTTCCTCGATAGGCTGTGTGGGTTTCTTGGTTCTTCGGGCGATCCTTCTGTTTGCGGAGGTGTCCGATGGGCGTCGGCGTCGGCGTCGCGCGACCTACTTCCAGGCGAGGTAGGTGGTATGTTGTTTGGAAGCACAAACGACAAACTGCAAACTGTCGCCTGTCCCTGTTGCTGACTGGGTAATGCTGACTGGACTCCAGGATCAAGGTGTTGACAATCGGTTTAACGGTCGTACATGGGAATTGGGAAGGGAAAAAAACGGGTTACGGGATACCACGGATGAGAAGCTCTGATTTGCCGGTCGAATTGGTGTTTGCCTGATGGACTGCTAGATTCCTTGCTAAGGTACTGGAGGAGTTCCCCCGCCGCTCCAACACGTGGCGCTGGATGTTGGCCCGTTGTGCCCCGTTAACATTCAGTGTGCGGTGCTCCGTGACCCGTCGCGCCCGGTGAGTGCTGCGGGCTGCGGGTGAGGTTCGGTCGGGTAGGGCGGCCGCTGTTGGATGTCGTTCTGGAGTCGCTGGACGGGAGTCTGGGCTTTCCACTTTCAGGGCAGAGCAGGCATGCTCCGAGCGGTAAAGCTTCCAGTTGGTCGACGCTGGTTGACGGTCCCTGTTGCTCCCCGGCTCGAGCCAGTTAATCCCCGGTGCGTCAGCTGTTGTGGTAGGGGTGCCCCAGCATTGTGAGCACCGGAACAGCGCACCCGTAGCCGTAACGGCCGGTGGGAAAGGTTAGGTAAGGTACCTTTTTTATTCCAGAATGCCCCTTCAGCGAGATTGATCTTGTCATTCCAAGGCTCTTTTGTCGACAGATCGTGGGAATGAACCTCTTCCGGAAGCCAAGCCGGTTGCCGCTAGTGTAGCAGATTTCTGGGCTGTCGTGAGAAGGTTGTGATGACAGGATGGTGGTCGGCTGGCGGCCAAGACTTAACACTGCGAAACTCTTTGGGAGACGAATGCCTGCCAGGTGACAGCAGGTGGGCCCTGTGCATTCGTTGCTTCTGCGTACGCATTATTTGATCCTGCAACATCGCACTTTCATCTCCTTTGATTTCAATCCCACTTCCTGATCTTCATCCTCCCCAGCTGAAGAATGGACCATTCCAGAAACAACACACGATACGCCATCACAACCACCATCAATGTTAACTCCGAATACCCACGGTTTCAACATACCAAACCACGCGGCACTCGATAGTGTCTATGCCCGCTTCTTGTCGGCCTGTCATCCTTGCAGATAACACAGTGAAGGAAGCTATGCTGTGTCGCAAGTCGCAACATCGAGACAGACCCAGAGCACAGCAGTCGATCTTCTCACCACAGTCACTACCACAACCCAAGGAAGCATGAGGAAAATGGACATCAAGATGTCATCACGGGAAATCAGCGAGGACACGAAATCATACTGGAGATGATGAGGTGGTAGGACCGGCGGCCACTTCTCCGATAATGGACGACTTGGAAGCGATTGTCAGCAATGTCGCACCCAAAACCACCCAAGAGCTGAAAGAGGAAACCAATGGAAGGCCTAACTCTCCGTCTTATGCGAATCACTTTCCGAACCTCAGTCTTTCGTTCCAATCCTCATCCACCTTCCTCGCATTTCTGGCGCTTCGCTCGGCCATCGCCGGTCACCTATCTCGAAGCTTGTAAGTGTTGAACCGGTCTGTCACTCACGTGCCCCGGGTGTCAAACCTTTGCCAAGCCAGACACACTTCAATCCCTCCGTCTAAAAGTTTGGACAGCCACCTTTCTTTGCTACGTTCATGTCCGAGCCAGGGTTCTCTTCTGCCTGTTATTTACGATGGTGGTTGTTTGGGATTTCTTGAGCTGTCTTGTCTCCTACCTTACCTTTGGGTTTTTTCGCCCGATCGGCTCTTGGGGCTCCGGACCCGCCTCCGGCCTCCGGCCCGTATGTGCTTCCCGTGCAGCCCCACAAGCCCGTGTGGGCCGAAACCTGTCGGTGCCCGTCTCGCCGACCGACTCTCACCTCAATGTTTTCCGAACAATTTCTCCCATTAACTCCCAGATCCTCCCAAGCTCGGAGGTTTGCAGCGCTTGTGACACTCTTACAAAACCCGCCTACAATTTTCTCACGAGATTGGTTGGGTAGGTGAAGAGGAAGGGGAAAAAAACGAAAAAAAAGACAAAGGACTCCAACATTCAGTTTGGGCTATTTGTGAGCGTATCACCATTCGTTTCTCTTGTTTTGGAACTCTGAATTAGAATCATGTTTGTGTGAAGGTGGCGCCTCAAGCAACACTGCTCTGTCATTCCAACTGACATGAAAGAGTTCGGAGCTTTTCAGCATCTTTCCTTCGACCACGCCTCAAGCAGCGCCATGGGATCTTCAATCCTTGCCAGGCATGTAATCTGCAGATTTGACGGCTAAACACAATCCTCTGAAATACACATGGAGTACGGGTAGTCGGTGACTTCAAGTGATATTGCCAACCCGTGTTGTCGGAAATCCCCATACCTCTTCTGGATGACGGAGAGGAGAAACCGCATTCTCGGGCATCACTTCAAGCGTTAATGCATCTGGGGAAGCTAGTTGAGCCTCCGTCCGGTAGATGAGATTTCCTTGGCATTGATCGCTTTCAAATGCCCGAGAATTGATGTCAGAGAACGTTGCAGTTGCCCATAAGACTCCCTCCATTGGCGCGCATGGGGTAAAGTGACGGAATGTCACAGGGCTACAACTTCCTGAGCAGGGCGACTTTAGGGAGATCAATCAGATGGAGATTGTCAGCCATATGGAAAAAAGGAGGTGGCATTCGATTTCAAGGTGCACCCTTTAACCGAACCGTCAGTGCCCCTGGAACAATCGGTTAAAAGCCAGAAAAAAAGGAAAGTTACCTTCATGCTGGAAGGAGGTATACTTGACCGATTGGAGGCATTTATGTTTTGCGGGGCCCCGCAGTGGCATAGACTTCAAACGCATCACTTGACACGACCAAGCGTGGGATATGGTTCGAGGGCATCTCAAGCCTCGAGGATCAGATACGCGGGAGATGCGGGAAAGACGGCGACAGAAGTACATATGCGACATGGTCAGGGAACTTCTATCAGCCGGCCCAATGGGCTCGGAGTCATCGCCAAGCTGGAACTTATGGGATCTTTCTGTGGTGCGGCTAACATGAAGCCATTTGAGATATTGAAGCTCGGTTGGCGGTGACCGGAGTGCTTGCTGTATTTAAAGGTGTTGCCTCGCCGGTGCTGAATTCAAGAGCTGAAAGTTTGACGAAGCACCTTTTCTATTATCAAGTCCCATTCCCTCGGTTCACAGGTTCAGATCCCATCACCATGAAGGCCACTCTCATGATGCTGTTGGCGCCTCTGGCGGCCATGGCAGCGCCCACCCCCGATAACTTGGAGGCTCGTCAGGCCAGCCAAAGCATCGACACTCTGATCAAGGCCAAGGGCAAGCTCTACTATGGTGCCTGCACCGACCAGGGCCGTCTCACCTCGGGCAAGAACGCGGCCATTCTCCAGCAGAACTTTGGCCAGGTCACCCCCGAGAACAGCATGAAGTGGGATAGCCTCCAGAGCCAGAGGGGTAAATTCAACTGGGGCCAGGCCGACTACCTCGTCAACTGGGCCACCACCAACAACAAGACCCTCCGTGGCCACACCTTCCTCTGGCACTCGCAGCTTGCCGGGTGGGTCGGCAACATCCGCGACAAGAGCCAGTTGACTACGGTTCTCCAGGAGCACATCACCACGGTCATGACCCGCTACAAGGGCAAGATCTATGGCTATGTAAGTGACCTACACTCGTATCTGTCAAATTTGAATAATAGCTCATATAATTTTCCCAACAGGACGTCGCCAACGAAATCTTCAACGAAGACGGCTCCCTCCGCAGCAGTCCCTTCTACAACGTCCTCGGCGAAGACATGGTCTCGATTGCCTTCAAGGCGGCCCGCGCGGCTGACCCGGACGCCAAGCTGTACATCAACGACTACAACCTCGACAGCCCCAACGCCGCCAAGCTGACCAGGGGCATGGTCCAGCATGTCAACAAGTGGGTGGCCGCCGGCGTGCCCATCGACGGCATCGGCACCCAGGGCCACATCAGCTCCGGAGGCGGCAACAACCTTGCCGCTGCCATTAAGGCGCTTGCTGCTGCCAATATCAAGGAGGTCGCCGTCACGGAGCTCGATATCCAGGGTAACAATGCGGGTGATTATGCTACTATTACCAAGGGGTGCTTGAGCGAGCCCAAGTGTGTTGGTATTACTGTTTGGGGTGTGCGCGATCCGGTAAGTGCTTATCACTTGGCGACTGGTTGTGAGGTCACGATGGGAATAGTTATGCTGATGATGAAAACAGGACTCGTGGAGACCCCAAGGGAACCCCCTCCTTTTCGATTCCAACTACAACGCCAAGGCTGCGTACACCTCCATTGTCCAGGCTCTCCAGTAAGCGGGGTGAATGGAAAATATCCTTCGCGGTTTTTCGAGGGTGCGGTCGCTCTCATCCCCAAAAGCGGGAGCACGTACTCCTTCGGTGTTATGAAAGAAACGTTCAATCTTCTTGAGTGGTCAAAAGTTAGGGCACGCCTTGCTGTAGGCGGGGACAACGGAGATTTCAGCATATGTCTTGATAGTAAACTGCTATGTAGCCACTGGATACCTCTATGCAAATGGTTAACTCACATTGTTGCCCAAGTTTTTCTCCAGATTGGGCGTAGATTAACCGTTTAATATCCAACCCATAGATGTGGCCAAGCAGGCGCCTCGTTGAGTTTGCTGAATGATTAACTATGGTGTTTAGCATGCATCTGTTTGGCATCAGGGGAAATGGCCGTGGATGAGGATTAAGTCGCGCCTTCCATGTGTCATCGGGCATTGACAAGCCGAAGAGAAATCCGGTTTCAGTTATAATCCTTCGGATCCGAAATTTGTCCCCATTTGAACATCCGACCAGGTCATAATCATGGAATCCACCCTCCGCGGCATCGAACCTTTTGTCAGGGCAACGAATGACTCTTTCTAGGAAGACACTCTGAGGATATGGGTCAAGAATAACAGGTAAAACACGAGTTAGAGCTCCAATTGTTAGAAGTGTTTCCGAGACAAGATCCTCATTGTTTATATTGTCATTCCACAGTGGGGGTATTCCTGCCATGAAAAGGGAAAAGACGGCCCTGTCCTGTATTGGGGACTGTTAAGAAGCGTGAGACCGTACCCCAAGTAGGATTTATAAGTATGGGTTTCTCAACCCCTGTCAACAACAACCAAACAAGCTGCATGGCGCAGCGGAAGCGCGCCGGGCTCATAACCCGGAGGTCACTCGATCGAAACGAGTTGCAGCTATAATTCAAATTTCTTTTTTGACTTTTTTCTTTACCTCGATGGATTTTTTCTGTTCGCTCTTCTTCGTGCATTTTTTTTGCATTCTTTTTCTTTCTTTTGTTCCTTTTCCAATACGTGACTTGTGGGATGGGTCGTTGCATGGTTGTCGTCGAGGACAAACATCACCATGGCAGGTATCTTTTACAAATGAAAGCTTTGACTGCAACTTTTCTTGTATCATCTATCAAATGCGTTCGCAATGATGTTCTACTTGCATTTTCTCCAACGAGCTTACCCTTTCCTTGATTCTCACTTTTCTCATTCTCATTCTCCCTTCATCCCTACTAGACCCTGCAGGTCCATACACCCAGGTTTCACACAGCCCAGGTTCCGTCCTAGCAAGTAAACACTGAAGGGCCAGGAATGATGTACGACTTGAAATTGTTATAGATCTGCCATCACTTGTCAGCTTTTTTTTCTCCCCGCCATCACCTTCACAGTTAGAGGTAGACAAAAACTCACATTAGCAGTATATCCCGGATCCGTCGCCTTGAACGCGCCCGGGATCTTCACCAACGGGCCAGGCTCCTTGCTGCCGCTGCCCCCCGTGACATTAACCTGCGCGCAGCTGATGTAAAACTGCGGCGTGCTGCCCGGGTTGTGGATAGCCAGCGACTGGATGCGCAAGAGGTACTCCCCGTTCTTGATGCAGGTGGGGATCTTGAAGGTGTAATCCGCTGTTTCATATCGTCAGTACACCTTCAACTACCATGCAGCCATCAGCATACAAGAAGGGAAAGGGAAGAAACATACACCTCAAAGGCCAAGACGCCCCGGAACCGCCAAACGTCGGTCCCCAATCATAGATCTTGAACCAATCCCCACTCCCATCATAATCAGCCACTGCACCAGAAGGTGCCTTGCTCATATACAGGGAAATCGGTCCCTGATGATAGACAGCCTGGTCGGTGTAAAAAGTGAAAGAGTCGCCGGCTTTGACGTTGACGGTGGTGGTGGAGGCCCCCGAAGCGCCGCCGACGTTGCATCGGAGATCAGGCGAGGAGAGCGCGGTGACGGGGGAGTTGTTGTTTGTGTTTTTGCGCAGGTTCTGGTAGACGGGGAACTTTTGCGAGTTGACGCCGAATTGTTGGAAGATGTAGTGGGCGGAGACTAGGTGGGCGCCTAGGAGGGCGATCAAGGGGAGGGTAAGCTTCATGATGGATACTAGACGGTGGGGAGTGAAGCAACTGGTGATAGTGATGGTGTGGCAGAGACCTGATCGTACTGATCGGGGCGCTTACTCTAGTGTATCTAGGTGTTGATATATGGTTGTGAAGAGGGTGTTCTGTGGTTTCTGGTCTCAAATGCCGAAGATGGGCATGGCTTCCGGCTTTGGACGTCGGGTATGAAGCGGAATACCAGTCGCATTGTGAAATTTGGGGAGTGCTGCGGACATCTAACAAGCAATTTAGAAGGCAAGAAAGATAGGAAGCTTGATATTGAAGCTATATGAGCCTCATGGGGGGATAGATTGCATCCAGGTGAGGGAGCGAATAGGATGATGGTGAAGACGACAAAGGGTGGGTGGGCTTGAGGATGTCGACAGCAATATCAAGCCGGTTTTGGTCATGTGCCGGAGGGAGGAAATAGCATAATCAGTCCAGAGGGAGCTAATTGATTCGATCCCTCCATACTACACTAAGGAAACATGTGTTCGGCATCAGGGAATGGTGTTGAACACGAGTGTGATGTGATGGTTCGGACTAGTGGTTGCGAAGTGATCGTGGCGGAGAGCCAAAATCAGAAAGGGGTCTGCAATAAGATAATGCACTAGTAGAATAAAGTGGTAGACAACGGCAGCTTTGATAAAGCAGTATGCCGGCGAGCACCCAAAAATGAGGTGCAGTTGAAGTCACTAACAATTACCCCTAATTCCCGCGGAACGGCCCACCACCATGTGCCACAGGCTCGGCAACCAGGTACGATCTCGATACAGTACGGTTCTTCAACATTGGTCTGGTTATGGATTTCTCGAGTATCAAACCATCTTAGGGGCATGTGAAGAGAGGCAGGCCTATTGAGGGTCAAGATTAGAGCTGTTTGGTAAGGCACATGGGGCACAGAGGGTGGGACGTACCAGGGATGACATATGGGCTGGTGGTCTTCATGGAGTAGATGTCGATAAGAAGGCCCGGATCATTAGACTGTCCATAAGGTATTTTATCAGCATGCCTTTCTTCCGATACCTATACCAACTTGCGATATTCTTACCTTGTATATGCCCGGAATGCTGTATGTCGCAGGGCTGGCCGTACCCGTCCCACCGGTGATGTTGAGCTGGCCACATTTCATGTAGAGCTGCGCTCCATTCGAGGATCTGGCACCTATGAAGGGCAACCATCTCAGCGCGCAAAAGGTCTTGACCGTTAGCAATGCACTTGGGGATCTTAATAACCTGGTTACCCTTGTTGTCAATGATCTCGTTGGTGGCCTATTTGCCGTTCTTGTAATCGCCTTCTTGAACCTTGAACCAGCCGTTGCCAACACCGCTGTCAGTCTTGGCATCAGTAACCTTCTTGAGATACGCCATGATGGGACCCTTTGAGATCTCTTGTCGGTTATTGTTGGATCATAGGTGGAAGGGCAGTTACTAACCTTATGACCGGCGTCCATCACGTCGTTAGGACCGGCTACTGGATGTTGGCCCGTGTCATGTTCTGTTTGACTAGAAAAAGAGACGAACATTGCAGGGTGTGCCTCCACACTGCTTGGACCGTGGACCCGGCAGTCACGTCGATGATCTTGTCCGAAGGGGTCGTCGGGTTTGGAGGCCCATTGCAGGCCATGTTCTTGGAGTTGACATCGGTTTGAGGCTGTTGAAGGATGTCAGGCCAGAGGATACAGAACCACAACACCGGTGGGACATTTCCCTACCCCCATCGTACGAGGGGGTCCTGATTCCGTGGGACACAGCTAAGGGAGGTGTCAGCATGGATATCGTACGCGCTTCTATCTCCAACCGGGCATGACTTACGATATGTCTTTCCACCAGCGGTTAACTGGGCGAAGATGGTATGACCGAATGCGCCTGGGAGAAGCGCACTAGCCGGTACCAAGAACGAGATGTGCATTGTGGATATTTTTGATTTTTTTTGATTGTGACTTGGCCTTTTTTTTTTGTAATGTCGCTCAACGCATGAAATCTGCCCCTTCACAGTCCTTTAAGGTCTTGTTATAGCCATCTTGGAGTCTTCAAGGATCTGCTCTCGCCTACATGCCGAACCCATCATTGCTGTGGGCCTTCAAACCGTGAGGCATGATCATGATGGAGATATTGGTGTTCATCAACGAGAAAATCGACTTGGCCAGTGAGAACGATAAGGCCAATGATGAGCTCGGAAGGGACTTTCCCACTCACGGAAATGGGAACAGAATCAGAAACCCGGCACCTGCTACTGCAAGTGCCCGCCCGGCTGCACCCACGTTGTGATTGATGCGGCTCTCCGTCATCTGCATCGTCATGTTTGAGGATAACCGCACCTCGTTTGCTATGTGGTCGTCCAGAGTTTTACCCCGGAATTTCCTAAGAAAGTGCAAGAAATCAAAGACCGGATCATGGATCTGATTGCCAAGACGAGGAGAGAGGGAAGACCGTCCATAGCCCAGGGCATGCTCGGATATGCCCGGGCAATGGACAGTAATGCGTTGTTGCCATGAACCCCGCACGCAATGCTCCGGTAGAGCAGGCAGGCAGCTTAGTGCACTATCAGCCGAGCTGTGAATCATGGCGGCGACTGGATAGTGCTACATCTAAGCCGCTCGGACATCTCAACGTCAAACGACTTTTTCGACGCGACAACACTCCCACAATTAACTCGGGACCTCAATTCACAACACCTCCATTATCGACCGAAAGCCTGCCATCTACCAACGTTCGACTCCCGCTTGAGGATCATGGCATTTTTATGCCAGCGACAGAGTGCCACTCTTTTCACTCGCCACGCTCACCGACAGCCAGTCGTAGCGGACACCGAGTGGATGGATAGGAAACCTGGAGGATGGGCCGCCGGACCGCGCATCTAGTATAAGACGGACGGTCTGATATAGCCTGATTGGCACAACCATTGGCCCGCTTCCCTTCTTGCTACATAAAATGTCTGGAATTAATGAAGACTGGCAATAGCTGACTGTTGATCGTTAGCACCCGTTTTATCCAAAGTGTGAGCAGATTCGCTCTTCGTTTAAAGACCACGATCGGGCCACGGTCAGCGGTGGTCCTTCATCTGGTTCGCTCTTTCGGAAGTTCGCCTGCAACGAGACTTGAAGCAAGATTGGCAGGACCTCTGTTGCATTTTCTACTCCTTCGCGGCTCCTTCCTCAGCAAACTGGTCATCAGCCTCTTGCGGCAGTTTCCGCCGCCACTACTCTTCTCCGGAGCCCGAAGCGCGTTTGTACCTTCATTCCCGTGCTAAAACCTCCTCCGTTCAAGTGCGCGCTTGTGACTGTTCCAGACGCATGATGTGGCCGCCTTCTGGTTCCTTTTCAATTAACTGAAGGGAAGTGGCTACAAAGGAGCCAACCAACCAACACCCCTTTCCTCTTTTCTGCCGCATTGTTACTTCACATCTGCGAACAGGCAAATCTGTTTCCTCTGGAAGCGAGCGGAGCAAGGCTTGGCAATGGCGATGGTCACAAATGGGATGAAATCTCCTCTGAGATCACCTTCGGATCCATACCCCCAGAGAGGAATCACAAACGTGGAAGTCGAGGGCAGTAGAAGACTGGATATACCTGGGATGAACTCTTGACTGTCGAGGATCCTGATCGACCATGCTCTCCGATGGACAAGCAGCGTGCTTGACTGTTAGTGCCGTAGCTCCTGCTGACGGGCCCGAGTATGTGGACTCTCTTCTCCAGATGTTTGGGTCCGGAGAAATTAGAGCACTTTTCTCCGCACTTTCATCCTTCTCGCCTACCCAAACCTCCATGCGAGTGCTTCATATGGAAGGTGCCATATTCCCCTGATGGAGGCTGAACTCTAATTTACCTCCGTACCCCTGTTTCCACCACTTCCCTTCGTTGATCTCGGCCAGTGGTTCCGCCGTCGAGAAGGTATGGCTCCCAGTAATGGGGGCGACACTCGGTAGTATTTTTACCTGCGTCTGTCCCCGTCCAAGTTTGAAAAAAAAAAAAGTCGTCAACTCTCCGGCTTCTACTCTTCCCAGCCAAGGTCACGCTTCTCGAGTGACCAGACCGGAAAGATGAAGGTCCTCATCCGCCTTGGAGCGACTGCTCTGGCGGCGTCTATGTGTAAGTTATCCTTCGACTCTCCCTTTGATGGCTGTTTGCATCATCTGACATTAGCAAACCACGACAGACCTCCAGCAATGCTCTGCGCAGTACATCAACGAGCAGTACACGGACCCCATCAACAAGATTACCCTCAGCACCTGGCGACCGGACCCTGGCTCAAACTCCGAGGGAGCGACCGCCTATGCTTTCGGCTTGGTTTTGCCCCCAGATGCGCTTACCAAAGATTCGAACGAGTATATCGGTGTCTTGGTATGGGCTCATCCACCACCTCCTGGTCTTGAGATGGGTATCAGTACTAGCTAACATGGCCGACAGCGCTGTGACGTTGGTGATACCGCCAACCCCGGATGGTGCGGTGTCTCCCACGGCCAGTCGGGTCAAATGACCCAGGCTCTGTTGCTTATGGCTTGGGCAAACAAGGGTCAAGTTTACACGTCTTTCCGCTATGCGTCTGGGTATAATGTGCCGGGACTTTACACCGGAAACGCCACCCTGACCCAGATCTCTGCCACTGTCAACTCGACCCAGTTCGAGCTGATTTACCGCTGCCAAGACTGCCTCGCATGGAATCAGGGAGGAAACAGGGGAAGCGTGTCGACCAGCAATGGTCTCCTAATCTTGGGTCGCGCTGCTGCCAAGGGCAATCTCCAGAATCCGACCTGCCCAGACAAGGCCATTCCCGGTTTCCACGACAATGGATTTGGTCAATATGGAGCACCCCTTGAGAAGGTCCCGCATACCTCCTATTCAGCTTGGGCTGCCCTGGCCACGAACACGACTACTGCCGACTGCTCTGGGTACGTTTGTTCCATGCGCTTTGCTTGTGTACAGCTACTAACGTGTGTTAAAACAGAGCATCCGACCCAGCACCCACTGGAACCGAGCCGCCAGCTGAGCCAACTTCGACAGCCGAGCCCATTCCCGCTTGCACACCCGCTCCAAGCAAGACATACGACTACATCATCGTTGGTGCCGGCGCTGGTGGTATCCCCATTGCGGACAAGCTCAGCGAGGCCGGAAAGAGCGTGCTGTTGATCGAAAAGGGACCTCCCTCTACCGGAAGATGGCAGGGTACCTTGAAGCCTGAGTGGCTTCAGGGCACAAACTTGACTCGCTTTGACGTTCCTGGTCTTTGCAACCAGATCTGGGTTGACTCTGCCGGCATTGCCTGTACAGATACCGACCAAATGGCGGGATGTGTCCTGGGTGGAGGAACGGCCGTTAATGCTGGCCTGTGGTGGAAGGTAAGATGCTCCGACTTCTCATCATTCACTTGGCAGGTCACCCACTAACCGTTAACTATAGCCGCATCCTCAGGATTGGGACTACAACTTCCCCGAGGGTTGGAAGTCACGAGATACCGTGCCAGCCACTAACCGTGTGTTCGGTCGCATTCCCGGAACTTGGCACCCCTCGCAAGACGGCAAGCTGTATCGACAAGAAGGCTTCAACGTCCTAGCCAGCGGCCTCAGCAAAAGCGGTTGGAAGCAGGTGATCCCCAACGAGGCATACAACCAGAAGAACCACACATTTGGTCACAGCACCTTCATGTTCTCTAAGGGTGAACGTGGTGGTCCGTTGGCAACATACCTCGCCTCAGCGGCGGCCCGCAAGCAGTTCACTCTGTTGACCAACGCCGCTGTGAGAAGGGCGGTCCGTAACGGAAGCCGTGTAACCGGTGTTGAGCTTGAATGCTTGGCTGATGGTGGTCTCAGCGGAACGATCAATGTGACTCCTAACACTGGTCGCGTCATCTTTGCTGCAGGCACCTTCGGTTCCGCCAAGCTTCTCCTTCGCAGTGAGTTGTCATTACCAGTGACAGTGTGTTGAATGGTTTGTTTGCTGACAAGTACAACACAGGCGGTATCGGACCTACCGATCAGCTCGAGGTTGTCAAGGAATCGACGGATGGTGCGACATTCATTGCTAAGAATCAATGGATCAACCTTCCAGTCGGCTACAACCTCATGGACCATCTCAACACGGATCTGATTGTCACTCATCCTGATGTCGTCTTTTATGACTTCTACGAGGCTTGGAATACGCCCAACGAAGGTGACAAGAGCGCCTATCTTCAGAACAGATCTGGAATCCTTGCGCAAGCTGCTCCCAATATTGGCCCTTTAGTACGTGGTATCAGACGAAATACTCCTAACTGGATTTTGCTAACAAGTGGATTCGCAGATGTGGGATGAACTCAAGGGCTCGGACAACATCGTTCGTACCCTACAATGGACTGCTCGAGTGGAGGGGAGCGACCAGTATACCACGTCTAAGAACGCAATGACTCTTAGCCAGTATCTCGGAAGAGGAGTTGTTTCCCGTGGTCGGATGACCATTTCAACTGGTCTGGATACTAATGTGGCCGAGCACCCATACCTCCACAACGATGTCGACTTGCAGACCGTTATTCAAGGCATCAAGAACCTACAGGCTGCACTGAATGTCATCCCTAATATTTCCTGGGTCTTGCCTCCCCCAAACACGACCGTGGAATTCTTTGTCAACAATGTGAGTTACCTTCCATTACTCTCCGGGCCAAAAGATGAATGATACTGACAAATCGGGACTTGTAGATGATCGTCTCACCCTCTAACCGTCGCGCAAACCATTGGATGGGGACTGCCAAGCTTGGCAAAGATGATGGCCGTACTGGTGGTAGCGCTGTCGTTGATCTGAACACTAAGGTGTACGGTACCGACAACCTCTTTGTTGTTGACGCCTCCATCTTCCCTGGCATGACCACCGGGAACCCGTCGGCGATGATCGTGATTGCCTCGGAGCATGCTGCACAGAAAATTTTGGCCTTGAAGCCTGTGCCAACTTTGCCTGGCGGCAAGGGCAAGGGGAAGTGGAGAAGATAAGCCGCGACAAGAGAGATGGAGCAATGTCATTGTAGTTCTAGGCGACGTGTTGATATTTGAGAACAGGATGTATACTTAGGACATGTTACCAAATTTTGGAGCTCAAAGTTTAGCAGTCAGACAAATAATCATACTTTCCTTCTTTCCATCTTAGTTCTCGTCTCAATAACTCCCAAGCATTCGAAACTATTCCCGAGTGACCATGGCGAGTCATCATGTTTCCCATGTTGGCGTTTGTAGGATGCGGAAATGCTGCGTTTATATAGGCGGTCACTGCGTCCTCCATCATTAAGGAATGATTGATCAGCCGCTTGCCCGGCTAGCTCAATCGGTAGAGCGTGAGACTCTTAAGGAGTTTTTCCGTAATCTCAAGGTTGTGGGTTCGACCCCCACGTCGGGCTCAATTCCCGTCGTTCCAATTTCTTTTTTTCTTCTTTTTTTTTGGGTCTTTTTCCAGGTTGAGTTTGCACTTGCAGAGTGCATCATCAGACACGTTTTCTTTCATTTGGTCTTCGATCTTTTTTCTTCTTTTTTGATCTTTTTATGGCGTTTGTTTGCTGCTTTCCAAATACACTCTACCTGATTCTCAATGTGGTGGATTTTTCTGCTCGTCAAACCCATTATGGAGTCTCATTTGCCTGCCCGGTCTGATTGCCCTTTTGTCTTGTTTGGAGATCTCATCTATGCTTTCTTAGGCTTAATCTTGTGTTATTAAAAACTGAAGGGATCACGATCACCGTTTCCCAAGGAAGTTTGAGTGTGTTCGAACTTCGAAAAGAAGCTTCAGATCAATGGAGATTGCTCAGGTTCCCCGAACGGTGCAGGTTCACCCGCGGGAGCGCTAACGTGCACTAACACTTAAACCACATGTTCTTGGGAAGCAGAAGTCTAAAAAGTCCAATAAAACAGCACCAACGAAATAAACTATCATGCTTTAGAGACTGTCTCTGTCTTTATTTTCAACCCTGGCAATTTTGTCTTTTATTCTCCTTTTAAAGCATGTGGGAGTGGCTCAATACGGCGTAAATAACTAGACCGAAGCGTGCTATGCTACGGACAGATTAATGGAGGATGTTGAGGAACGTGCGGTTGTTTTGTTGTTGTTGTTGT